TTCCGCCTGGCATCATTCGCACACCGAAAGCCCAAATTATTTCGCCTGCCAAGAACATTTATAATTCACACTCGCTTCCCCTCGCACTGCCCGCCGGGCTATCTTTGCCACAGCAAGGAGCCAAGCTGGGCGTAGGATTCGGAGTGGCAATTCCTGAACTGCGTCCCAGACAGAGAGAGAAAGAAATCATTTAAAGAAACGAGAAACAGAGGACACCCAGAACACAAAACCCAAATCATGTCCCTGCCTTGGCATACTCCAGATCAGGCTCTCCGGGGGGGGGGGGTTGACCATTATTAACCCCCACCCAATTCCACCAGCCCCTTCCACAGTGCCTCCTTTCTCTTCCCCCTCTCGCCAGAGGTCTAGACCCCCCTCTCACAGAAAAAAGGCCTTCCCTTACCCCCCCCACCAGTCATTTTCTACAGACAGGAGTCCCCCCTCTTTTTTCCCTTGCCCCCTCCTCTTTCCCCTGCCCCTGCCTTTAGAACCTTGGGAAACAGCCACCGAAAACGGCGTGATGACAGACTTGTGCTAATATAGTATAGGGAGAAAGAGATAGTGTGTGCTTGAAATGTGGTCTAAAAAGGTAAAGGTAAAGGGACCCCTGACCGTTAGGTCCAGTCGCAGACCACTCTGGGGTTGCGGCGCTCATCTCGCTTTACTGGCCGAGATGTGGTCTCCTATATCACAAAAGGGAGGGGGGTCACATCTGTTGCTCCGCCTACTTTACCTTCAGGCCCCACCCACCGCTGGGATAAGGCATCTCAGGAGCTAGAGGGGAACTTTGTGGGGGCCATGTGCCAGTGGTGGGTGGGGCTAAAATGGGGGAAAGCACATGGCCCTGCATTGCAGGGGGGGTTGGACTAGATGACCCCTAGTTCCCTTCGAACTCTAAAATTCTGCTACAGTGGTACCTCTGGTTGCGAACGGGATCCATTCCGGAGGCCCATTTGGAACATGAAAAGAGCGCAACCCACAGCGGCGCGTCTGCGCACGTGCGGGTTGCGATTCGCCACTTCTGCGCATGCGCGTGACGTCATTTTGCACGCCTGCGCATGCGCGAGCGGCGAAACCCGGAAGTAACCCTTTCCGGTACTTCCGGGTCGCCGCGGGACGTAACCTGAAAGAACGTAAAACATGAAGCAGACGTAACATGAGGTATGACTGTATTCTATGATTCTATTACAGTGGTACCTCTAGTTACAAACTTAATTCGTTCTGGAGGTCCGTTCTTAACCTGAAAATGTTCTTAATTAGAGGCATGCTTTTGCTAATGGGGCTTCTTGCTGCCACTGCGCCACCGGCACACGATTTCCGTTCTCATCCTGGGGCAAAGTTCTCAACTTGAGGTAACGCTTCCAGGTTAGCCGAGTTTGTAACCTGAAGCGTTTGTAACCTGAGGGAGACGCTTGTAACTCGAGGTACCACTGTACCTCTGTAATGGATGCCTCCCAACATTATTATTATTTTGGAGGGGAAATACATTTCAACCATCAGAAATTCATAAAGCTTTGCACCCCACCCCACCCTGAACAAGCTACAGTAAAGAGGGGGAAAACCCCAAGAATAAACAGAATTAAAACCTGGAATGCTCAGGTGAGGTCACTGAAATATCAGGCCAGCGACTGCCTCCTCAGCCTGGTCTACCTCATAGGGTCGTCGTGAGGCTGGAACTGGAGGGCAGAACCTCTCTAGGCTGACCTGAACATTTTGTAGAAGAGGTGGGATTTTAAAATAAAATAAAATAACCACGGAATTAACGAAAGCACCATAAGCTGGAGAGAGAAATTCCCTGCAAAAGGAGGGGGAGGCAGGAGAAATATCCCACGCTCATTAGAGTATAAAAAAAATCAGGTTTTATTACTAATGAGTGTTAACTGGTGGCGGCGGCGGCGGCGGCAGCAGCAGCACACTCAATTGGCCACGAAAATTGTTTTGTGCAAACAGATGGAATTAACAGCATCAGGGTCTGGCAGGGGAACCTTTGGAGGAATCTCAAAGAGCTGGAAAATGGGCAGCAGTGGAGGCCCAGCAAGTTGCAGGGAGGTAAGAAACAGGGGAATTGCTATACAGGGATTGGATCCCAAAATGTTTTTGTTTTTTGCCAGGGAGCGGAGTTTTCTGCAGGTAAGAAGACCTGGTTTTGTGAGTGTGTGCATTGTGTTTTCTGATGTATACAAAACAGAGACAATAGTTATAACAGCAGGTGGAAATTAAAAGATGAAAAATGAAACCATAAACTAGAAATAGGTACATAAAAGAACAAAGTCCAAGAGTAAAGACTATCTGATTATTTAGGATAGTTCCAGATTTGCCAGGCTTGCAAAGGGGGCTGCCTTGAAAATGATGGTTCTGCTGCAGGTTCTCTACGCAAATCATACAGAAACTGTCTGGAGGTCTCAGTCCCTGCTGAAATCTCAAATCCTGCATAATTACAGCTATATTCCAGAGTGGTACCAAACCTCCAACATGAAGATTTTAGGATGTTTTGCAATTAAGAAGGGTTGGAGTATCAAAGGGTTAAAGCAAGTTTTTAAGTTTAGGGGGGGTGTTTCTCCCAGTCAGTAGGCAGATGTATTTGAAACTGGTTTTATATATGCAAAAGTTTTACTTATTTATTTTAGCTTATCTGTTTCAATTCTTTCAATATGAACTTACCCGGATCCTGAGATCATCTTCTGAGGCCCTTCTCTGAGTGACTCCTCCATGTGAGGTTGGGGGGGGGGGATGGCAACACAAGAACGGGGCCTTTTCTGCAGTGGCTCCCCATTTGTGGAATGCTCTTCCCAGGGGAGCTTCGCCTGGCGCCTTCATTATACGCCTTTAGGTGCCAGGCAAAAAATGTTCCTCCTTAACCAGGCCTTCGGCTGATTGACATCCTATGCTCTTTTAAAACGTATTGGGGGGTTATTGGGTTGCTTTGCTTTTTTAATGTATTTTGTGTTTTTATATTGTGATTTTATGTTGTAACCGCCCTGAAACCTGGAGGTTTGGACGGTATACAAATTTAATAAGGAATAATAATAATGGCATATAAATATACATGCAGTTGGGAACATATTTCCCCTTTTTGCATATGCATGCAATTGTTCTGCATGTGAGTCTTTAAAAAAAAAAAACAGTACTGTGAAATCACATTAAGCAGAAAGCAATTTGTAAATGAAATGAAACAGTAATAATAATAGTGATTCATACGTGAAATGAAGCAATAGTAATAATAATAATAATAATAATAATAATAATAATAATAAAAATGATTAATTAAAACTAAAAGGAGTCACAATAAGAGATTTATTAAACTGATGGACTTTGCAGAACTGGCAAAACTGACGGGAAGAATCCAGAACCAGCAAGACCAAGCATTCCAAAACCCAGCCAAATGGGTTATTATTATTATTATTATTCCAAAAGGACTGGAATCAATTTATATTATGTTTAAAAGACAACTGTAAGCAATTAACGTCAGTAGCAGGGTTATCTGAAGATTTGTAAGATGAAATTGCTACCTATTCAGGTTGAGTAATATAATATTTTGTTGTTGTTGTTGTTCAGTCGTGTCCGACTCTTCGTGACCCCATGGACCAGAGCAGGCCAGGCACTCCTAAAATAATATTTTAGGTAATGATATAACAAGGATAGGAAACGAAGCGAAATGTAAAGATGTAAAGTTTAATTTTGTAAACCATCGGACAGGAGGGAGGGAAGTCATTAGGCTCAGTTTAGCCAAAGATATAAAATAAGAGGTTATGATGTTACGTAACGTGATCATATGTAAAACCAATAAAAATTATTTTTTTTAAAGAAGAGATTTATAAAATGATAAACAGTGTTATCTTCCTATATACATAAACATGTAAGGCTGTGGTCACGTTTGCTAAACCACTGTATGAAGCGCCTTCTCCCAGGCTTTTAAAAGGGGGTTCATGCTTTAAAATGGCAATGCTCGCAGGTGCCCACTCCAGCACGCATTGGCCGAGATCCGCCTCTCTCCTCCTGCACTCTGAAAGGCACCTCTTCCCCCTCCTCGTCTCCCCACAAATGCTGGCTGGATTTCTTCCCCTGCCAGCCGGGTTTCCAAGCTCAAACCCATCTTGTTCGAAACCTCCAGGGAACTAGGGAATAAAAGGGAGGTTTTCTTTTGAAACAGAGCACAAGAGGATGGAACATGCCAGCGAGCAACAGCTCCCAGCGCACATCCGCCCAGCGGAGAAGACCGTTCCCAAAGGTTCCTGGGCTGAGGACGGCTCCACGGCAACCGGTGCGGCCCTAAGAGGATGAGAATGGCGCTGCCCAAGGGACCCAAAGGAGCAGCACAGGCGGGCAGAGACTGGGGCGAGCGGGAAATCAGAGGCGCGTGAAGGGAAGGAGAGCCCAACAGGGACCTGAGCCCAACAGCAGCAGCGCATGCTCTTCCTCCTTGCGCTTCCCCAGCAACTGGTATCCCGAGGCACTTACTGCCTCCGACAGAGGAGACAGAACATATTTCTTCATGACATTTGCAGCCATCATTCTCCTCCTCCTCATTTCACCCTCACAACAACCCCGTGAGGCAGGTTAGCTAGGCTGAGGGCGAATGACCGTCACAGCCAGCGAGCTTCACGGCTTGGGTGGGGATTTGAACCCGGGTCTCGCCCGGCGCTGTAACCACTAGGCCACACTGCCCAGCAGCCACGGACAGCCTTGCCCTCCTCCATGAGTTTGTCCCATCCTCTCTCAAAGCCGCCCTGGCTGGTTGCCTCCCTCGTGGGAGCATATAGGGCACAGAACTCCTGAAGGTTAGGAAGGGTCTCAGAAAAGGGGGAGAACCTCTGTCCACCCGCCATTTTGGAGAGACTCCCATCATTTGTGACCATCAGCCATGGTGGCTTCTGGGAGTTGGAGTCCAATGACATCTGAAAGACCATAGGATTTCTCCCTTCCTGATGTGGGAAGAGGCATCCCAGCCCCCTCAGGAGGGAATGCCTCTTCTAGAGGCATTCCCTCCTGAGAATGGTCCCTTCTGCTCAGTCAGTAGAGCATGAGACTCTTAATCTCAAGGTTGTGGGTTCGAGTCCCGCATTGAGCAAAACGATTCCTGTATTGCAGGGGGTTGGACTAGATGGTCCGCATGGTCCCCTCCAATTCTATAGGTCTATGATCTATAGGGGGAAGGGAGCTGTGGCCTCCTCTCTGATGTCATCGGACTCCAGCTCCCATCATTCCTGACCATTGACCATGCTGGTAGCCGAGGCCGATGGGAATTGGTGTCCAAGAAGGAACAAGCACGAGGCATTCATTACCTACCCCAAACATCTGAAACTTGGTCCCACTGCTCTGAACTGTCATGGCTTCCCCCAAGGGATCCTGGGAACTGTAGTTTGTTGAGGGTGCTGAGAGTGGTCCCCTATTTCCACCTACAGTTCCCACAATTCCCTTGGAGAGAGGTTGACCATTAAATCGCTCTGGGAATTGTAGCTCTGTGAGGAGAATAGGGGCCTCCTAGCAACTCTCGGCACCCTTAACAAACTACAGCTCCCAGGATTCTTTGGGGGAAGCCATAACTGTTCAAAGTAGCATGATACGGTTTTAAACGCATAGGGCAGACAGGCCCCACATCCAAGCAATGTGATACCCATCAGCTGTCAAGCACTAGCAGTCTATTTCTTATTTATTACACTCCATCCGACTGCTATTCCCAAGTGGTCTCTCACCCAGCCGCAAACCAGACCTCAACCTGCTTAGCTTCACTACGGCGGCTGTGTCACAGACCTCCGAGCCACTGCCTGCTCTCGACAACTGTCAAGTTCTGAAAAGCTCTGAATATTCACTGGGTATTTGACATCCCATCAAGGGATAACTTGGGTGAATATTCTAGGGAGAAGCCTTTCTGGAAGTTAAACTTGCCTCGAATCCAGGTTAAGAAGAACACTTAGCCTTCTGCACATCCACACAAGCAATATCTATATTCATTTATGCATACAAAAAAAGAGAAAAGCATGTGTTATGTTGGTCACAGGCCATTTGATGGCCACAAATCAGGGGTTTTTGCTCCCCATAACTCCATCACACTGCTGCTTTTTCTGATACATTTCTTAAAGGTACCAGTCCTCATTATGATGGCAAAATGCTTAAAAGAGAAGGGAAATTGCCACTGAAGGTGTTTCTTGATGATGGGGATAATACTGTACTTAGCAGGATCAGCCAATATGATACCAGACAAATGTTTTGGACTACAACTCCCATCGTCCCCGGCTACTCACTATTCTGGTTGGTGCTGGTGGGAGTTGTAGTGCACAGAAGCTGGAGAGCATCGCTCTGCCTAGCCCTGCTACAGGGTGCACAAAGCACATCACATATATATAAAGGTTACAACAACCCCTTGAAATAGGCTGGTGGGGGGTTTTACCGCCATATGGCAGAAAGAGAGGGAGGCTTGCTCAAGGCCAATCGGTGAGGTCAAGCCAGAGGCAAAATGTGCCGCCATCCTGAGATCTGCGGTTGAAAGGCGGTATACAAATTCATCTGTCTCCTGAGAAATCTCTATGTGGGACAAGAAGCTACAGTTAGAACTGGATATGGAACAACTGATTGGTTCAAAATTGGGAAAGGAGTACGGCAAGGCTGTATATTGTCTCCCTGCTTATTTAACTTATATGCAGAATTCATCATGCGAAAGGCTGGGCTGGATGAATCCCAAGCCGGAATTAAGATCGCCGGAAGAAATATCAACAACCTCAGATATGCAGATGACACAACCTTGATGGCAGAAAGTGAGGAGGAATTAAAGAACCTTTTAATGAGGGTGAAAGAGGAAAGAGGAGAACGCAAAATATGGTCTGAAGCTCAACATCAAAAAAACAAAGATCATGGCCACTGGTTCCACCAACTCCTGGCAAATAGAAGGGGAAGTGAGAGATTTTACTTTCTTGGGCTCCATGATCACTGCAGATGGTGACAGCAGCCACGAAATTAAAAGACGCCTGCTTCTTGGGAGAAAGGCGATGACAAACCTAGACATCGTCTTAAAAAGCAGACACATCACCTTGCCAACAAAGGTCCGTATAGTTAAAGCTCTGGTTTTCCCAGTAGTGATGTATGGAAGTGAGAGCTGGACCATAAAGAAGGCTGATCGCCGAAGAATTGATGCTTTTGAATTATGGTGCTGGAGGAGACTCTTGAGAGTCTCATGGACTGCAAGAAGATCAAACCTCTCCATTCTGAAGGAAATCAGCCCTGAGTGCTCACTGGAAGGACAGATCCTGAAGCTGAGGCTCCAAGACTTTGGCCACCTCATGAGAAGAGAAGACTCCCTGGAAAAGACCCTGATGTTGGGAAAGATGGGGCACAAGGAGAAGGGGACGACAGAGGACAAGATGGTTGGATAGTGTTCTCGAAGCTACAAACATGAGTCTGACCAAACTGCGGGAGGCAGTGGAAGACAGGAGGGCCTGGCGTGCTCTGGTCCATTGGGTCACAAAGAGTCGGACACAACTAAACAACAATACAAATTCAATTAAATATTAATAATAAATTTGAGGGCAGTGGAAAACATTGCTTATCCATCTCTTCCTTGTTTGAGGGAATGGTTCCTTATTTCGTATTTAGTACTCACTTAGTACTAAACCGTATTAAATAAGGAACTGTTCCTTAAAGTCGCCATTGGGGAAGAGTTGTGCGGGACTCTAGATGCTCCCGCATGGCCCATGCGCAACGATGATGGGAGCTGTATTCCACAAGAGTTAGTGATGGTCAACCAATTTAGTGGTTTAGACAGATTCGTGGAAATAGATACAGCCATGGTCCATCTCCACCAGTCAGTGCCTGATCTCTGCAGCCAGGCTCTTCTGGCGCCCACTGCCCTCACTCACCACAGGACTTCACTTGCCATCAATGATGGAAGTACATAGTCAAATCCTGCACTGGGTTAGCCACCGTGAGGACAGGATGCTAGGCTAGACCTGATCCAGCACCCAGGCTTTTCTGCTCTTCTTGATTTCTGGAGGGCCACCAGCTCCTCACCCCTCCTTAAAACACGACGTCAGATCTACAGGGAGAAGCAACAGACCTCACACTCCTCCCTCCAATTTCCTTCCACATCGATATCCATTCCCTGCCACTCCAAAGCAACAGCAAAAAAGTAAATCCCTGTTTAAAAAACCTCTCTAATGTCCTGTTTCGTAACAAGGAGGGAGGCTGAAGTTGGCACCAGCCAAGTCAAACGTTAAAACAACGGATTGTCAGGAGTAACTGCAGTCGAAAACAGGACAGATGCTTCAGCCAGACCAGCTGGTCTGGCGTGAGGGTGAAGAGCATGAGCTCTGAGCCAGGAAGAGACACACCTGCCTGGACCACCATCAGAGGCCCTTCCTCCAAGCATCTCCCACAGGAGATGTTGCTGGTGTGGGGGGGTGGGGGTGGGGGTGTGTGTGTGCGCGCGCAACAAGATAGAGGGCCTCTTCTGTGGTTCATTTGTCTAAAAGGTGGCAGGAATTATTCTTTTTGCTATTATCGGAACCACAGAACTGTAGCGTTGGGAGGGACATCCAGTCTAACCTGCTGCAAGCAACAAACATTATTATTTACTACTCGCCCTCAGCCTGTTTCCTTTTTTTTATTTTAATAATTTTTATTAGGTTTTATACAATTATAACACATACTGCAACAAATGTTGCACAACCAAAGAACAAACCAAAACAAAAACTAAAAAAATAAGAAAAAATACATCTATAAAAAATAACAGCAAACAGATAAACAACACAAACAAACTTAATCATTTAAAAATCCAACTTTATCATCATGTTACTTGACTTCCTCTAGTCCCTCCCTTCTGAATTTCCTTGTATCTGAATGTAACAGTTTTCCAATATCATTATTAAACCACTCAGCCTAAGTTTCCAGCTCTAGCTTTCATACTATTGCTCCAGCATGGGCCCCATCTTCACTTTGAATAGACCCTGTTTCCCCCAAAGAATTCTGGGAGCTGCAGTTTGTTAAGGGTGCTCAGAGTTGGTAGGAGACCCCTATACTCCTCCCAGAACTACAATTCCCAGAAGGTCTTTCATTTATACCTAAAAGTATCTCTCTCTACAGTTTTTAAGCGCCAATAGGAACAACACCTGTATGCAAAACACACACAAACACCTCCCCACCCTCCCTGCCTGGGAAAAGCTCTCCTGTAGTCAATGGCAAGCGAAGAATTTAAAAATCAGGCCTCCCACATGCCAGGCTGTCAATGAAACCGCAGGGAAAGATGCAGCTGTTCGCATCTCCTGACCTGAAACTCCTGTTTCGAATTGCTGTTTTGACCGGTTTAGTTTGTTGTGCTGTGTGCGTGTTTATTCCACACTTTAATTGTGGATACTTTAAAAAAAAATGTTTGGTGGAATCACTTTATGGTGAGTGTTTATATCTTCATTTTGCAGTCACTTTTATACTTGTAAACGGCTTAGACGCTACCTAACTGATTGACTGCATTTCTGTCTTAGGCCAGAGTCAGGCATCTCGATAGTGCGGTGACAACAGTGTATGGGACCAGGATTAAGCCTTGTTCCCGTGTGCTTTCTCCTCTACCCCACTTCTGATTTTAGCGCAGATATCTTACAGTTCCATGTAGGGTCTGAACCAGTAAACTGGTTTAGCTTAAGCCAAGATAGGTGCCATTAAAGCTTGGGAAGAGAAGATTGCAACTGGCCATTAAATATAAATTTGATTGTCAAGACAGAATCCTCACTCTGTTTTGTCTCTTAGGTGCCTGCAGTGCTAAATTCTGGATTTAGTAGTATTGGTATAGAAACACTTTTATGAACGTGGATTGCTCTCCCCAGGAAGGCCCGTCTGGTGCCTTCGTTGCATATCTTTAGACACCGGGCAAAAACATTCCTCTTCTCCAGGCCTTTGTTTCACTAGCCAATCTATGGCCTTTTAAACTGTGAGCAACTGTGTGGGGATATTGTTTATATACTGGAAACCACCCTGTGATCCTCAGATGAAGAGCAGTATAGAAATACTATTATTAAATGATAATTAATAATAGTGGTGAATGGTGGGAGGTTAAGCACTGAGAAAAGGAAGGACTTAGCACTGAGCTGA